CCATCATGGACGCCCTCGTCAACGCCGCCTACCACGACCAAGCTCACAAGGTCTACGTCAGGATGCTTGCCGCCGGCGTTGCGCCCGACGCCCGCACCCACACCGTCCGCCTCAAGTCCTTCTGCCTCACCGGCCGTCCTCACGTCGCCCTGCGCCTACTGCACAGCTTGCCGGAGCGTGGCTGTGACGCCAAACCGCTCGCCTACTGCACGGTCGTGCGGGGCCTCTATGCCCACGGTCACGGTTACGATGCACGTCACCTGTTCGATGAAATGCTCGGCAGGGATGTCTTCCCTGACGTTGCCACTTTCAACAATGTTTTGCACGCTCTTTGCCAGAAAGGGGATATCATGGAGTCGGGGGCACTTCTGGCCAAGGTCCTCAAGCGGGGCATGTCAGCGAACAAGTTCACTTGCAACATATGGATCCGTGGCCTCTGTGAAGGCGGTAGGTTGGAAGAGGCTGTTGCGCTAGTGGAAAGGATGGATGCCTACATTGCGCCAGATGTTGTCACTTACAACACATTGATGCGTGGCCTTTGCAAGGACTCCAAGGTTCAGGAAGCTGCACAGTACGTTCGTAGGATGATGAATCAGGGCTGCATACCAGATGATTTCACCTACAACACCATCATTGATGGCTACTGCAAGTGGGGCATGCTGCATGAAGCTACTGAGCTTCTGAAAGATGCTGTATTTAAAGGTTTTGTACCGGACCGGGTCACATATTGCTCACTGATCAATGGATTGTGTGCCGAGGGTGACGTCGAGAGGGCCCTGGAGCTCTTCAATGAGGCACAAGCAAAAGATTTGAAGCCTGACCTTGTTGTCTACAACTCTCTTGTCAAGGGGCTCTGTCGCCAGGGCCTGATCTTGCATGCCTTGCAGGTCATGAATGAGATGGTCGAGGATGGCTGCCATCCCTACATTTGGACGTACAATATTGTCATCAATGGCCTATGCAAAATGGGAAATATTTCAGATGCGGCAATTGTGATGAATGATGCCATTGTGAAAGGATACCTTCCAGATGTCTTTACCTTCAACACATTGATTGATGGCTACTGCAAGAGATTGAAGCTGGACAGTGCACTTCAGCTTGTTGAAAGGATGTGGACGTATGGCATTGCCCCTGATGCTATCACATACAACTCGGTTTTGAATGGTCTTTGCAAAGCTGGCAAAGCCAAGGAAGTCAATGAAACATTCGAAGAGATGATCCTTAAAGGATGCCGGCCAAATGCTATTACTTACAACATACTGATAGAAAATTTTTGCAAGATTAATCAACTGGAAGAGGCTTTTGGGGTGATAGTCAGGATGAGTCAAGATGGGTTAGTTCCTGATGCAATTAGTTTCAACACGCTGATTCATGGATTCTGCAGGAATGGTGATCTTGATGGAGCATACCTACTCTTTCAGAAGTTGGATGAGAAAGGGTACTCTGCAACAGTTGACACTTTCAACATCCTGATCGGTGCATATTCTAGCAAGCTGAATATGCAAATGGCTGAAAAGATTTTTGGTGAAATGATCAGCAAAGGATATAAACCTGATTTGTATACTTATCGTGTTCTAGTTGATGGGTCGTGCAAGGCTGCAAATGTTGACCGTGCGTATGTGCATCTGGCAGAAATGGTAAGCAAGGGTTTTGTTCCATCGATGGCTACTTTTGGCCGCGTATTAAATTCACTTGCAATGAATCACCGGGTTTCTGAAGCTGTTGCTATTATTCACATTATGGTGAGAATGGGAGTTGTTCCTGAGGTTGTTGATACCATCTTGAGTACTGATAAGAAGGAGATAGCTGCACCGAAGATACTTGTTGAGGAATTGATGAAGAAGGGTCACATTAGTTACCCTACCTATGAAGTTCTTCATGAAGGAGTGAGAGATAATAAATTAACTAGAAATGCTCGAAAGGCAGATGCATCTAATATGTTTGCTTCACAACATCATAAAAGATCATATCAATAAGCTAATAAAGCTTTGATGTGCCTGAGCATAAGATCTGTTTTGCTATTAGTTGAGTTCTTCAGATTCATGGATGCTGCTGTACACTGTTATTTCAGGGCCTTATTGCTCAGAATATGGAGATTATCTTATCCTAATTGTATGAATACAATGACCCATGGCATTTCCTATGTACGTTATGAAGGCCCATGTTAGTTCAACTTCATGATAATTCCAAGTATTCTAGATATTTTAGGACAAATTAAGAGAACATACAAAAGACACATATACCCTTACTTCATTTCCTAATCAGATGCTATCACCAGCGTGATTAATGGAGATTAATTGATAAATTGCAAGTAACGATATAGCACCTACCAAATTTGCGCTACAATTCCCCCCTAAACCCCCTTATATTTGGGTACAATTTTGAATGTTTAAATGCACTATATTACAGGACTGAGGGGGGCAATCATCATTATACTCTGTAGAGTATCTCATTTCAGCTAGTATTTTTTTTTTCATTCTGAATGTCTGAGTAATGGCCATGTGGCTGTTGATGAAAGGTGCTTAATTGCTTGAATTCAATATTGGAAGGCTCCTGTTATTCATAGGAGATGCTCATGGAATTGTGAGTAATTTTGCCATTTTCTATGACTTTTTCTTACAGATTTCATGTGAAGTAACCTCATCCACATCCATCGTCTTATTTGAATGCAGTCCTACTTGGGGTACATATTGAAACACTATTTTGGGGCATATTCCAAGTTACTCTGTAAATTACGAAGACACGGCCAAAATCATTTATAAGTTCTATAGGCATATAAGCAATACTGACATGTTATTGGGTCTTGATTAATTAAATTTTCTCAAATGCTTTCTATGATCTGTTAAATGCAGTCTGTTGTGCTCTTCTGACTGAGCTTGTGACAATATTCTGAACGACCTACTGTGTTGCTGCTGGTGCTTCTGTATGTTTCCTCTGCCATTCAGATATTCAGTAAAGAAGGATGACAGGCACCCCCATTGTGAAGTTATTCCCTTAATTTTTTTTGTGCAACCTCATTGGTATTTTTCTACACGACATCTAGCTCTAATAATCTTAGTAACACTTAGTTTGTGCCTGTAATATTGCTGCACATGCATTATATTCTAGGCTAACTTGTATTTGCAAATAGAGGTATCAGTATGGGCTTCCAATCTACTTCTTTGTCAGTTTGTCCTGTTTGAGAAAGCATCCAAGACAAGTTCCAATTCTATATAGACAGGACATATAATAGTTATGGAAAAGCTTTCGGTATTAGGTACAATTAGAGTAGTTTTGGTATGAGTGGACCAACAGATCATTTTTTTAGAGAGAGAGGTGGACCCAATGAATTAACTACTGGTAGGAATCAACACAATTAATTAAACTACATGTACCAGACTGACAGGGAGAAGAAGTCTCTAACTTTGTTGACGCTTTCCAAGACCTGCCTGGCCAGTTAAGCCCTCTTAATAAGGCTGTGCCAATTGATCCTTATCAGCTTATGTCATGCCGGCAGAAAAGGGAAGAGACACTCAAAGGAAGAGAGCACCATATTATATATTCAACCATCACAGCTCACCTACCATACGTGTGCCTTTACCAATAAAAATTGAGGAGGCAATGCAACATGGGTGTATTCAGAACAATACCTACTATATATGTATATGTACTACTTGTTTTGTGCATTAGTAGTATTCAGTGCATAGTGATGCAATTCATGTAGATTCTTGGCCTCAACCAACCATTGTGATGGCAAAGAAAAATTTAAGGACCATGCAGATTAATGTGTTGACTTGTTGCAAGATTGATTCAGAACCCAGCTAACTTTTTTTCTTGAAGTTTAACCAGCCAGCTCCAGCTTTATAGATAATCAATTATATATTAAACTTATTATTACTTGATTCACCTCTTTCCCAAGTGGCCTAGGATCTGCAGGTGCCGACTGATTTCATAGAATCCGCGCCCCCCCCCCCACACACACACACACACAGCACACACCCACAACATAAAAAGGTTATGGAATGAGATGCCTTGACAAACAGGTATACTGGTAGCTTGTCAATCATTCCTTTCTTGAAGTCTTGTCAGCATTGCCAATTATCATGTACTTATCAATCTTTGTTTTTCTGCGTGTACTGTTAATTTTCTGTAGTAGAAGACGTCCTCTATATATTTGTGAGAAGGGATCTCATCTTTTGTTTAATCGAAAAGTCAAAGGTCTCAAGGCAGCTCATGTCCAGGCAGTGAGAAGGGAACCAACAAGGACCCATTTGCCTTCCCGCTCAGCCAAGCTTTCATTGGCACCACTTCTAGGCTCTGATCTCTTGTATTCTCTGTTCTTCTACAGATCGATCATATTCTTATTTCAGGTCTGATTAAACCCTTATATGCTACAATCGAACCTTGTCTAGCATATCTTTTGTGTGTCTTGCACTCAATAATTTTCTTATTTCGTAACGTCCAAATCACAGTCTTTGTTTGTTCTTGCAGTAATTTCCCCTCCTTTTTCAGTTCACCTTTTTTTTGTGAATAAAAAGAACCTCAAATTCATAGAGCACAAGATGTTCATTGACTTGCCTAAAATATGATCAATCTGCTCTTTTCGCTCTGAACTTCTAAATCTGGGAGTTAATTTGTCTCGCATGTCTTCTGATGTCCGAGTCATAAACCTGCAGCCCCAGGCCTTCAGGTTCAAAGCTTCACTCTCCAGACTTAAGGAGCTGCTTTCAGGATGTTGCCTCTTGAAAATGATATTGAGCACTGAAGTTGCTTGATTTTATTCTCGCAAGGAGGTTAAGTGAGGGGAATTAATTAAGGACAATTAGGAGAGTTATGGGAGTTGTGCTTCTGGGTTTCTTGGGCCAGCTAATCGAACGGCGAGCTTCTCTGCGGTGGAAGCAAGCGGGAAGAGCATCTTACCGCTGCAGCTAGAGCCTCCTGATCTTTCTTACTTCCTGCTACTTATATATGTAATTCTCCTAGTTTATTCATGTACCTTTATGCATGAAATTTTAGCTGAGATGAGTACACATATCATACAATTGTTACAAGGCCTGTGTTCTGATGGGCTATGGAAGTATGGTGTCTTCTGGTCATTCAAAAGCGAGATGAATGGGTGGTAAGTCTATTTGTTTGTTATCTATCACAACACTATTGAACTAGTATTCATGAAAATTCAAAGAAAATAAAGTAACTCTGATTCTTGTATCAAGCCAAAGAGTAACTAGTGCCCAGCATACGATCTTCAAGTATGCTCAAGTAACTTTCCACAACATAAAGTCATTGTTCTAACTAGACCTGCCATGGTTGAAACTGAATGAGAACATTAGCCAAAAGTCTACACTAGAAGTTGGCATGGATGAGCACAAACTTGGTATTGAGAAATTGCACTTTGTAGTATATCTTCATCCCACACTTTTATAATTGGTAAATATGTTCGGTAGGATCTTGACTTGGGGTGATGGATATGTCAATAAAATGATAGAAGACAGACAAATGGGAGATCTATCTGCTGGCCCCACTGTTCGTAAGAATCAGATAATACCTTCCTCGTGCTGCAACAAAAGCTATCAATTTTGCCCCATTGAGGCAGCACTGATGAGAATGCCTAGCCATTTGTACCCTCTTGGAGAAGGGTAAGCATGCTTGCATACTACCATCTCAAGTTTCTTTCAGTTAATGTTGAATGCACATGTTTGTGGCTAATTATATTTTTCCAAGTTCTGCGGTTATTGTATGTAACATTTCCAAGTTCCAACTTTGTCAGGATTATTGGTGAAGTAGCACTTACAGGACAACATTGCTGGATTTCTGCCAATGAGCTTTGTCCAACAGCTATGCATAAGGTGAGTTGATTTACAGTTAGCTGTACATAACTATTTTACAGTTATGTATGGGCATAGCACATGATGTGGTTTCAGCACTTATATTTTCAGTACCAAGAAGACTGGCAGCTTCAGTTTGCAGCCGGAATCAAGGTAACCGACACCGACTTATATTTTTCAGTTATCACAGACAATTATGCCTGTATTTGCTGGCCATCCTTTAGTTCTTCTTTTATTTTCTTAAGAGAAACCTGTTTGCTTTTTTGCTTTTCTTATATAAACAAAAATTTACCACAGTAGGGGCTTCCCCTACTGTTTTTGCTAAAAAAATTGTTTCCTGTATTAAACAGCTGCACGGCAAACATCCTGCTAGACTAAGCTGATGGTCATTGTTTCTTACCTGTAGACGGTTCTGCTTGTACCAGTGGTTCCTCACGGGGTTCTTCAGCTGGGCTCTTTAGATATGGTATGCTCAACTTGTTTAATAATTTTTTTGACATGATTAGTTTTTGACAACCAATGTGTTGTTTCACTACATTGTCCCGCTCCCATCAAGTGAGGAATAGCATTGCTTTAGAGAGTCTGAATCATTGCATTGCTTCATAATTGGTATGTTTACTTCATAATGTTTTTGCAAATTCCCTTCAGGTTTTCGAAAGTGCAGCGTTGGTGGCACTCATAAAAGACATGTTTCATAAGCTTTGTGACGCTTCGGTTTCTCATGCTCATGCTTCTTTATCCACTGGGTCTGCCTACTCAAATAATTTGAGGCTACAAACTGCAACTCTATCAATCAATCATCCAGATGCTAGCTTGATTGATAGTTCTGCTCAGATCTTGAATGTTGATCACCACAGTTTAACACATCCCTTCAGTACATCGGAAGTTCCAATATTAGAAGACATCACTATAGGTTCTTACAGAACTAGCCCAACAGGTTGGCCTAATGGACTGTTGGGTGATAATGGAACCATTGGGCATGAATATTTCGAAGGCTTTTCTCTGACAGACATGTCACATTGGAATCAAGAGAATACTCATGGCAGCACTATTGTTCTAAATGATGGTGTAATGATTTCGAATACTTCAATTCATTCAGAGTTTCACAGAGATCTCATGGTAATGTCCAGGGAAGAACATGAGCTCTTCATGTGGCATTGTAGGTTGAAACAACAAGAACCTACAAGCCCTCCTCTCCCTCAAGCGAATGGCAACAATGCTGATTTTTATGTGCAGCTTGAAACCAACAATTATGCGGAATTGTTACTAGATACAATAATCGACCAGATTGGTCATACATCAAACAGTGAATCTTTTCCCTCAACTGATTCTCCATTTTCATGCGAAACACAAGTTAAAAAAGAAGATCACTCATTGAGGGTGGATGAATCGTCAATTTCTGTTATCCCAGGCGGTCAAGAACTTTCACCTATATCCATGAATGAAGGGTTCATAAGTTGTGCAATGACTGATGGATGCATGGGAATCAACAAGACTATAACCGAAGAATGCTTAGTTGAAAGTACGCATGGGATAAATTCAGCTGAAATCAAAAGAAGATGCAGAAAAGTTGAGCTCCAGAAACTAAGACCAAGAGACAGGCAATTAATCCAAGATAGGATGAAGGGGTTGAGGGAGCTTATTCCAAATGCATCAAAGGTTCAGCTTCTAACATTTTTTTAATTTGGATCCTCCTGAAGTTATGTTTGTTTGGCAAAAATGAAGGGGTAAGTGTTGATTACATCTTGTTTCATAAACAGTGCAGCATTGATGCTCTACTGGACAAAACCGTAGCATACATGCTGTTCCTCCAAAGAGTATCCGAGAAAGCTGAGAAGGTAAGCTTTTTTGGATTTAATTATAACAGTTAAGAAGCAGTATTGATAAACGAGTCACAAAATCCATGTGATATTTGTGCAGACCCTCATCAACTCTCTCTTCATACCACATTAGTTGTATGCCTATCTTACTCTTCCAAATTCAGCATCTGAGTATCTGACTGTATATTATTTATCTACTTTACTTCCTATAGAAACTTGACTAGGATTCTGTGACAGAAATAAATTAATATATTTAGCCTTTTATGAAGTTTTACAATTAATCATTCATTCAATCTTCTGCTGGTAAACAGAGGTGTCTCATGCCTAATTTCCGTTGTGCCCTGACGCTGAGACAGATTCAGAATACATTGGAAGACAAGGAATCCCACAATGAGACAAAGAAGCAACTTGAAGGCTGCCCACTAAGAGTTGAAGAGCTTAATCAGCCTGGCCATCTTCTCATTGAGGTAACTGATCTAATTGGCATGCTGCATGCATCAGTTTTGCAGTCGCATGATTCAAGGTCGTTTCGTCATTTGCTTCATCCAGATGTTGTGCGAGGACTATGAAGTCTTTCTTGAGATGGCACAAGTGTTGAAGGGCCTTAAGGTGAGCATACTGAAAGGAGTGCTGGAGCATCGTTCCGACAAGCTTTGGGCTCGCTTTGTCATCGAGGTACATCAAAGATCCTCTCCCTTTTGTTCACAAAAAAAAAAAAAAAACCTCTCCCTTTCGTTTCGTTTCCAACCCATTAATTATGGAGAGTAGTGCATCAAATAAGATCTGTTATATCTCAAGCAGGGTTCGGATGGTTTCAACCAGATGCAGATTCTGTGCCCGCTGATGCATCTCCTGAGCAGGAGATGAAGTTAGCATGGCTTGTGTTTGTGCGTCGTTGAAATGCTCCCGAGACTCCTCTGCCTCTCTGTTTGCTTGGTACAAATGTACAGTAAAATAATGGATGGATGGATGTTTTTGGATCCCAGCAAGACTGGAATGTTGTTATGTCCATATTCAATCGTGTACAGCAAAATAAAAGTTGAACTTTACGAAAGGTCCCAAGCAGGACAGTTCTTTTCCCTCATTCAATCATGCAAGATGAGCATATCTTTGGACATCATTCTCACGCAGTGAGAGTGTTCCGCATCCTCATTCAATCGTGCAAGATGAGCATATCTTTGGACATCATTCTTACGCAGTGAGAGTTTTCCCTACAACGGTTGACGGCGTGCTCCGCATCCTCTCGCAGTCGTCCTCCAGCCCCTCACCAGTGCTGCTCCACACCATGGCCATCCCTTAGCGCTGGACTAGCTTGCGCCCATCAACTGCTCGATGAAATACCAGTGAGTGTTGAGAGGAGGTCTGGTGGCAAGGCTACCACATTCTTGTGCAAGGTAGCTATATCATTTCTGTACAGGAAAACAAACATGTTCTCACCTAAGCTCGGCTCTACAGGAACAGGCAATCAAACTCAGGCACTCGTACCATTTGGACCGGACTCTGGCTGGCTATAGCCAGGGCAGACGGCCAGGCCAACCAGATGCATGAAATCAAACACGCCCCCAAATGTAGTACCCATACTACATTAAATTGTGATGCTGGCAGCATCGTGGATCGTGGTGCAGCTAGTGCCCCTAAGCTAACCGCTGCAACGGCATGTTGGAGGCTGCGGCGGTGTTAGCATTCATTTTGCCTGACACATTTCATAGCCGCACATGACTGAACCAGAAACATAAATTTTCCATGCTAATAAAAAATTTACAACTTCTGCTGCTGCAAAACAAAATCGTCAGGATACGATATTATTCACAGCTACTATAATCCAAATCAAATCGTTGTCAACTAGTGCACTTCACACGACTCGAACCACCACTATAGCATACGGATCCAGGGCCTGAATCTAACCAACCAGCTAAAGCCTCCGCCGGGTGCGCCTTTCGGTAGCCTCAGCACTCTCCACTGGAGCCAAGACTTGGTTCCCACAAACTCCCCTTTTTCGGTCAAGGGATGCAAGATCATCGTCCACTTCTGCCACAGTAGCTAACAAGTCAGAGAGTAGGGACGGGCATGTCTCTTCCAAGTAATCAAAGCCTTCCGTCCCCATAACAGCTGCGGAAAAGCAACACAAAGCAACAGCTGAGCACGAGAACTTCAGCACACAACGTAAATTAAAATAATAAGAATTGTAGGTGTAGTAACATGACAACTCAATAGGTTGGACTGAGTTGCAATCTTCAGACTGAACTCACAACCACAGAGAAAAGCCGGTTCTAAATGAGGGATCTAAATATCAGATACATGATTATTTTCTTGTTGAATGACGGGAACTAGAATTGTCATCTAAAAGCACACTGATACCAAGTACCATTAACCAGAAGCTTACAGACAGAACAAGGAGTGCTCAATAAGTTTCTGCACAACAGAATGATACACTGAACAACTAGTGAATGATACACTGAACAACTAGTGATTCAAACATAGATCTCTAGTATATCCCAAGCTTTCAAAACTCTTTTTATTGCCTCCCCCATGTCAATTTCGGTCTTCCTCTAGCTCTCCTCGTATTATTAGCTTGGCTTAGGACTCCACAATACACTAGTGTCTCTGGAGGTCTCCTTTAGACATGGCTAAACCATCTCAACCGATGTTGGTCAAGCTTTTCTTTAATTGGTGTTATCTCTAGATGATCACGTATATCATCATTCCGAACTCTTGATCCATTCTTGTGTGACCGCAAATCCATCGCAACATACGCATTTCTGCAACACTCAGTTGTTGAACTTGTCGAATCTTTGTAGGCCAACATTCTGCTCCATACAACATAGCCGGTCTAATCATTGTTCCGTAGAAATTGCCTTTTAGCTTTTGTGGTACCATCTTGTCACAGAGAATGCCAGAAGCTTGTCGCTACTTGATCCACCCTGCTTTGATTCTATGGCTAACGTCCGCATCAATATCTCCATCCCTCTGTAGCATCAATCCCAGATACCGAAAGGTATCCTTCTTAGGCACTACTTGACCTTCCAAACTCACATCTCCCTCCTCTTATACAACTCCGCCAAAGTCGTATCTCATGTATTCGGTTTTAGTTCTGCTCAATCTAAAACCTTTAGACTCAAGGGTCTGCCGCCATAACTTTAGTTTCCTATTTACTCTCGCCTGGCTTTCGTCCACTAACACTACATCATCAGCGAACAACAAACACCAAGGGATATCCCCTTGTATATTCCTGATAACCTCATCCATTACCAAGGCAAAGAGATACGAGCTTAAGGCTGACCCTTGATGAAGTCTAATTTTAATCAGGAAGGAATCTGTATTACCATCGTTTGTTCGAACACTAGTCACAATATTGTTGTACATGTCCTTGATGAGGGTCACGTACTTTGATGGGACTTTATGTTTGTCTAAAGACCACCACATAACATTTCTTGGTATCTTGTCATAAGCCTTCTCCAAGTCAATGAAAACCAAGTGGAGGTCCTTCTTCTGCTCTCTAAACCGCTCCATAACCTGTCTTATTAAGATTGCTTTTGTGGTTGACCTTCTGGGCATAAAACCAAATTGATTTGTTCATATATGCGTCGTTCCTCGCAGACGTTGCTCGATGACTCTCTCCCATAACTTCATAGCGTGGCTCATCAACTTAATTCCCCGATAATTAGTACAACTTTGGATATCTCCCTTGTTCTTGTAGATTGGTACCAATATGCTTCTTCACTCATCAGGCATCTTGTTCGATCGAAAGATATTGTTGAACATCTTGGTTAGCCATATTATAGCTATATCCCCGAGACATCTCCACACCTTGATTGGGATACCATCAGGGCCCATCGCTTTGTCCCCTTTCATCCTTTTCAAGGCTTCTCTGACCTCCGATTCTTGAATCCTCCGCACAAAGTGCCTGTTAGTGTCATCAAACGAGTCGTCCAGCTGAACGGTAGTGTTATCGTTCTCACCATTGAACAATTTATCAAAATACTCTTGCCATCTATGTCTGATCTCATCCTCCTTCACCAAGAGTTGCTCCCTCTCATCCTATATGCACTTGACTTGGTTGAAGTTCCTTGTCTTCCTATCGCGAGCCCTAGCCATCCTATAAATGTTCTTCTCTCCTTCCTTCGTACTCAAACGTCGGTAAAGGGCCTCATAGGCCCGCCCCTTTGTCTCACTCACCGCTCGTTTTGAAGTCTTCTTTGCCACCTTGTACTTCTCTATGTTGTTTGCACACCTGTCATGATACAAGCGCTTACAGCACTCATTCTTTTCCTTAATAGCCTTTTGCACATCTTCATTCCACCACCAAGTGTCTTTCGAGTCGCATCCGCTCCCTTTGGTAACTCCAAGCACCTCTGAAGCAACCTTCCGAACGCATGTTACCATCTTCTCCCACATGCTGTTTGCATCGCCTTCAACATTCCAAGGACCCTCTTCAATGACCTTTTCCTTAAAGACCTTTGATGCCTCCCCTTCTAATTTCTCCACCACTTCGTTCTAACAACCCTAGTTTGTTTGTTCCCACGAGCTTGCACCAGAAAGCGAAAGTCAGCCACCACCAGCTTGTGTTGAGCGACCACACATTCTCCAGGTATCACCTTACAGTCCACGCATGTTCGTTTATCCCTCCTTCTTGTAAGGACAAAGTCGATTTGACTAGAGTACTGGCCGCTACTAAAGGTCACTAAATGGGACTCTCTTACGGAAGAAAGTGTTAGCTATCATTAGATCAAAAGCTATGGCGAAGTCTAAGACTTCCTCTCCCTCCTGGTTCCTACTACCATATCCAAAACCCCCATGAACCGCCTCGAAACCTGCACTTGATGTACCTACATGGCCATTAAGATCACCTCCTATAAAGAGCTTCTCGCTACTAGGGACAGCTCTAACCAAGCGATCTAAGTCTTCCCAGAAAAGCCGCTTAGCACTCTCATCATGGCCTACTTGGGGGCATACGCACTAATTACGTTTAAGACCATATCACTAATGACAAGTTTAACTAAGATGATCCTATCCCCTTGTCTTCTCACCTCCACCACACCATCCTTGAGGCTCTTATCAATCAAAACTCCTACTCCATTTTTATTTGAAGTTGTCCCTGTGAAGCCGGTATTGTCCACCTCCTTCGCCTTCTGCCCCTTCCATTTAGTCTCTTGGATGCATAAGATATTTACACGCCTCCTAACCGCTGTGTCCACTAACTCTCTTAACTTACCTGTAAGGGACCCTACATTCCAGCTACCTAAACGGATCTTATTTGGCTCGACTAGCTTCCTTACCCTTCGCACCCGCCGAGGTAGGAGTGAAGACCCTTGCTCATTTTGCACCACACCCGGGCGTCGATGTGGCGCGCCACTAAGGATGCGACGACCCGATCCTTGCTCACTTGACACCGTGTCCAGATCGCGACACGGCGCGTCATGGGGGTGACGACCCGGCCCTTGCTCATTTAACACCATACCCGGGTTCCGACATGACGCGTCGCTAAGAGGGTTACGCCCCAACAGGATTCTTTTGGGTTTCATCTCCATTAAAGTGGCTAAGTTTTTACATTGGCTCGCCGCGCCTAACACAACCCTCCTCCTTTACCAGGGCTTGGGACCTGCTATGCTGGGACACCAAAGGTGCCCCACCAAAACTTAACCTATTAACAGTGTATCTTATTCTAACACCTTCGGTTTAGTGACCTAAACCATAAGAAAACATCAATCACATAAATTATCCTACAAAAACATCACCATAGGATTAAAAATTAATTTTGTTGTTTTTCCTAAGATATTAGCTCTGTTCGTTAAAACAGCTAAGAAAATAGCCCTCAACTGCGCAGAACTTTAAACAGAATACAAACAATGCTGCGTACGACAAGCAAAAGCATAGATAATATAGAATATTTCACATTCCAGGCAGAAAGAAGTCGCACCTCCCAAATTTTCTCGCACAGCAGCAAACCTTAGACAGGCAGACTTCAGCTCAGCGCAATGGTGCTGTTCAGCAAGGGCTAAGGTTGTTGCGACACTTTCAGGAGTCAGTTCATCACATAGCTTTGATTCACACAGGATACGCAGACGGTCCAGTCCATATCTATCAGCTGCTGCCAACAAATGCTGTACTACTACTGTTGACGTCCATGTTGAGGCAGATCCAGCTAGCTCAGGAATGCTGGGGAGTTCATCAGTGTACATGAAGTTCACCATTGCCTGCATTTGGGGGGTGGGGGGTTATAAAATTACAGTAAGGGGATACTTTCAATCAAATAGCAACTTTTGTTTTGTTTTTGAAGTAAAGAGGTCCAAAATGGCAAGAACCTGAGGTGCATCACTGTACAGAAACATACTTAGATTAGTTCTAAGCTTAATTTATGGTGCAAAGGCACAATTTTAAAAGTTTCCAGTTTGAGCACCAAATCAACGTTAAGAAAATTAATCCACCAAGCTTATGCATCCCTTACGGATATAAGTAAAATTACAGCTTCAGATAGGTCCCTTGAGTAGTAGAGTACAAAGGAAATATGCAGGAAAGTAATGTGACCTGCATGTAGCAATTACCTTGAAGACAACAGGTTCCACATCCTCCACGACAACCGTGTGCAGGTCGGGCTTTCCAATAGGACCAAAGAACTGGGCTTTAAATACTGGGGAGCGAGCAGCAAGAATCCACTTGTGTGCCCTGACTTTCTCGTCGCGCACTTCGAAGGTTATGTCACATCCAATGCCGCGGCTGAGGAGCTCCTTGAAGCAGCGGCCCATGTCTGATCGTGGAACATGAATCTGGATGTCCTTTGGTGTTTCCATACGGTTCTTGATAACACCTACTGTGCAGTTCATCACTAGGCAATCATTCTTTAAGAAATCAGAATCTTCCAAGAGTGATCTTTTGTAGAAGCGCTTGTAACCCCTGAAATGAGAGGTGATACTAAGAACAGTCAGATGACAGATAAGGAGGGGGAGAGAAAGCCATCATGAATTACAATACGAAGTAATTGCACAGGTAGCAGCAGTGAATAAACTGTAGCCACGGTATCTAGTTAACATATGACTTTCCTTTTCTTTCAGGCCAGAAAGAAAATGGCAACCCTATTAGCTATACATAAGATATAAAACGGGGCCTCCTTTTCTTGCACGCCAGGAAATGGTAGACTGTGAACCATCACTGCAATTTGTCAACACCAAAACCATGAAAATCCAACTGCTTCAGGCAACTGTCATGCTTTGCTTTCCAATTTCTTAGGTGAGAATTGATTTAGGAAGTACTCTCTCTGTTCCAAATTATAAGTCGTTCTGGCTTTTTTTTTCCAGAAACATAGTAAAAAAACTATGTATCTAGACATAGTGTATATCTAGATGCATAGCAAAATCTTTGTACCTAGAAAATCCAGAGTGACTTGTAATTTGGAATGGAGGGAGTAGCTTGCAACATGGATTGTTATGGTTACCAAACATTAGCAACATTGGTTTAGTTGCAGTTCATCTACGGAGCTGGCATTGTAGTTCATTTAATCTATCATCAAACCAAACGCATAATGTACTTACAATCAAAGGGACGGGCAAATTGGGCGTGATGATTGGCAGACGAAGATAGAAAGGGAGGGTCATTACCACATGGATCCCCTGTACTTGAGGGTGTATGGGCCGGAATCTAGCTTGCGGCCAAAGTGCGAGTGAATCTTGTGGCGGCCGCGGCCGGACTGGTCGAGGAGGGTGAGGTCGAAGAGGGCTCGGACGTCGATGCCGTCGGAGGCGAGGGCGACGAAGACGGAGACGTAGTTGGAGTTGTCCTCGGCGTTCTTGCCGTCGGGGTAGAAGTAGACGGCCCAGTGGTATCCTCCGACAGCGAAGATGTCGCTGGCGAGGTGGCGGCCGGGGCCCATGCCCTTGGCGAGGGAGAAACCCCGGACGGTGAACTGGTGGGACCCCTTCACGGTCTCGGTGACGTAGCGCGACCACGATGGCGGCGGGGGAGGAGTCCGCGGCGGAATCGCCATCGCATCCCGCGGGGGCAGGGAGAGAGGGGAAACCCTAGGTAGGTAGAGCAGGGGGAGGGGAGAGGAGGTACGAGTGTATCCTGGCTTGGCTTGGTGGTATGTAGGAGGGGAGGGGCCTGGCTCCGGCGGGGTGTGGCGGATTCCGGCGAGGGGCCTGGCTCCGGCCGGTGGATGGCGACGAATCGACGCCCACCGTCCTCTCCCTCTCTCGCTGCGGCTGCGCTGGGACTCCGACCTCACCCTGCCTGGGACCTGGGTTGTTGCGGGTCTCGGCTCGGGGGAAGGGAGTCTTTTTCGTTCCGGTCCTCCTCTCATACCGCTTTTCATTTAGTAGGACCTATTTGATTCTACTATGGTAAGCTGGCCCATGTTTTCTATAGTGTAGCAAGTTTTGTTCTAAATAGGCTCAATTCATTGGGCAAAATCAGGCCCAAACACTGGGCTAGCCCAGAGAGTGAGCGCTAGCCTTTGTTATCAGGGGCCTAGGACCCTGACGGACTTCGATAAAATCGGTTGATGTTCATCAATTGTACTGACCTCTCATGTAAATATATATGATGACTCAGATAACCTTCATGATTGGATTCACGACTCTTTGCTCTTGCTTCTCAAAACATGCATGATAACGCTCTTTCGCAAAATATACTTCTCAAAACAAAACTGCTTGTTTGGGATTGACAAAGATTACCAGCCTACGACAAGGCGTGAAACACGGGATTTAGCGCATCTCTAACAAGTCCACCTCAACTAGCTCATACAAGTGTATGCCAGCATTTTACTTAGCTGGAATAGAGAGAAAAGCGAGAAAGAGATGAGCTAACTCTTATTTCCACACCTAACTCACACGGGTTACGAGGTGTTCATGTGGGCCTTGCACGCCCATCTTTGTCCTCATCACCCTTTCTCTATCTTGCTTCTTGGTTCATGGACGCACTCTCTTGCTTCTGTGCTCTACTTAAAATGATTGCAAAATATGACCTTCCTTTACTAGCTCAATTGTTGGAGCTGACCTTAAAGGATGAGAAAGAGAAGCATTTGTGAATTGTTGAAGCTGCTCTCTTTCTTGATGTCGTTTAGGAACATGCATCGTAGGCACCTTAACTTGGGATCGTACACAAGGTTGAGTTGTTGGTTGCCTTACAAACTTTCTTCATGAAATTTTTTCATTGATGATAGATATATGCTGGAAGGTAACGCTCTATGGTTGCTTTTATGCGAGCGTGTTCCTTCCAATCGTTCTTGTCACTAGATACTTAATTAGATGTCTATACAAATCTCGTCAAAGAATGTCCAGATTATTTCCATGGAGATTGACTCCATTGTGGACATCTCTGTGTTGTGCATCGGTGGTGTTGAGTTGGGATTGAAGTTTTGTTCAGTCATGCATGCATTGCATACATGTCAAGTGTGACTAGAACGTTCCGTTTTTTTCTCTCCTCTGGAGTTAAGTCAATGATTGAAGCTCCACCCTGCACATACAGCCCAGCCCAGCCCATTAGAAATGAAGGTTCATCCATCCATGGAACATCCCCTCAAAAAAAAATAAAAAAAATCCATGGAACATGCACGACCATATGTAGGGCGGCGCAGCAGGACTCTATAATTAATTTATATATTGTACATGTTCAATTTACACGTACGTACATGTATCATGAATGCCATGAGACAAATAACGCACAATGCAAAGATTATATAACGCTAATCAGAGCTGACCTATACACATGTAGCCAATTAACTTGAACGCTGCTCATCTCCATCCTTATTGATCCACATAATTTATTGAGGTTGTAGTTTTAGCTAGCTAGATGGAATTGGTCATAGACGGGACGACCGAGAATCCTTCTAGAAGGAAAAAAAAAAGGTTTTAGCTACACTTACAGATTGCAATGATTATACAACACTGTGATGCTGCCTGCTCAAGAATCTCAAAAATCTTCTCTCTGAAATATAATACTATATTATTCTTGTATACATGATACTTTCTTTTATTATTACTCACTGCTACAGAATTGGTACTCTGTAATATATAACTTGTAATTGAACCACTTATGTAATGTTTTAGTTTCATTACAAGTGTGTGTATCAGCGATGTTGTATAGACATGCATGATGTTGTTCTGCTAGCTAGCTGTGGTATTATACATACATACATATATATATATATATATATATATATATATATATATATAGCTGGTGTATGTCAACGTGTTCTCAATTCTTTTGTCCCCCTCGATCCCTGCATATACATGAATGCGTGCTTTGCTGCCATTAGCTTTTTGGATTCTTCAGTTTGTCTCCGTCCATCTGTTCTAGTCTAGGCCTTGACATTATAATCATGCATGTCACCTCCGAGTCTTGCTAGCAAATCAAGCCTGGTTCCATATAATGTCGTCGATTCGTCCATGCATGCATATAGGTTTGCACTGCACTGCACGCGTTATGATGATACAGTCGTAGCTAATTAGAAATTAACTAGCGACCTGCAACACAAACATCTACTAGCAAATTACAAATTATATTGAACAATATTTTTTTCGAAAAAAGAGATAGAGCTCTATTGATTACTAATGAAACATGTAATATTCTTTCGCAATCAACGACTCCACGCATTAGGGAACCTGCGCATGCCACACTGCAGAGTGTGACTTGTGTTTCGCTAGCTACGCGAGTTCACGAGCGATTTCATTTTGCTCTCTCCTCACAAATTGGAATCTCACCCCTGCTAGCAAACTAGACTCCTTTCTTGGTTAAAAGTTCCATCGACATTAACTTTTAACCATCCTTGTTCGGGAGGCTTCCATCTTTCTGATAATTGCCAAGATTTTCTTTTTTATCTGTCATCCCTGCTTTGTTCAGATTCTGATAGGATAGATTTTTTTCCTTTCATATCCTCCTTCACAATCTTGCAATGGCTTATTAATTGCAAAGAATCAGCATAGTTTAACAGAAAACTGACAGATACAGACATAGGAATTAGTTTAGCACCATGAACCACCTCATTTCTCAAAAACCATGCCCTCCATAAACAAGATAGCCGTCAGCTCCGCCATTTGCTTGGGAACATGACTCATGAGTAACCAGTCTGGTCCAGTATAGGACAGCAGCTCCTCACTTGGCAAAGCCCAAGTCTTTCTCAAAGCAGATCACATGTTTCGAGGATCATCTAGGCGTAGATCAGTGAGGTTTTTCTCTTCTATTCGGGATAAACAAGTAGTTCGTCCCAGAGAGAGAACTAGAGGGAGAGAGAGAGGGATGTAGAGAGGCAGACCATCGGTGGGCTTGATCGGAGCAGGAAGCCATGACGTAGGTGTTGATGATGCAGGTGTTGGTGTAGGGTAGCAGTGGAGTCCGGCGGCGGTGTCGAAGGCGCAGTGGAGGCGCGGTCCAGTGGCGGCAGTGAAAGCGGTGGAGCTTTCCGTCGCTCACAGTGCGCCCTCTCGATCGGACTAGGGTTAGGATATCGGTGGGAACTGGCGGCCGCGGTGAACCTCATGTCTCGAGCCCCAGCCCCCACCTCCTATTCATAGCGCTGCGCGACGGGGGGCCACCAGCCAGGAGAACGGCTAGGCGCCCCCGATTAGGGCGCGAGTCAGGGTCCAACTCGGTCGTTGGACCGAGCCGGGTGGACATCAATCTAATATTCTTCCTCTTGATCTCACCTTATGACTTAAACTTATTTCACTTTATTTCTTTCATATTCCATCACAGATTAGTGCATAGAGTATGCCTCGTCATAACAGCTAGTACCGTTAGATTAACAGCTATAATACACATCTCTGTTTTGATACAGATTCTCAACTAGGCCCTTAGCATCTAGAAATTATAGGCTTTCCTGTAAACCCATGTTGACTGTGTGTTCTCTGAATGCACTGGGTGGTTGGCCTTTGGCAAGCGGATCCGTAAGTACTTGCTCGGTACTTATATGCTCAATGCTTTCAAAATGATTCTGGATTTTCTCCTTTACAACATATAACTTAATGTCAATGTGTTTGACAGCACTCTTGACCTGTTGTCATAGGAGTTAACTATTTTAAATGGTTATTGCTGTTGTCTACCATTATTAAATCCGGGTACAAATTCCCTTAACCACCTTTTGCCTATTTCTGAAGCCTCATGGTAAGCTATACAATGGATATGCATCATTGATGATACCACAACTATTTCTTTGGAGCTTTTCCACAATAAAACTCCAACTGTGAGTGTTAGCTACTACTGTGAATTTCACTACACATCTCACCGAAGTTTAACATTTGTACCCACAACTATTTGAGAGTACCTGTTCTATCTTACTCAACATGAGGCCTACAATACTTCGCAAAATTGCAAGACATTCTTAACTCCATTCCAGTGATCTATATCTGGACTGGACTTCTACCAAAACATTCCGGATATGTGAGCTATGTCAGGGTAAGTTCTTACTTGTACACTCATTAAGCTTCCAACAACTGAAGCATATGGAACCATGTTCAATTGATCTCATATCGGTTCCTAGAACACTGAAAGTTCCCAAATCTATTACCCTTGACTATATGAGCAGGCGTAGGTTTACTCGTATGCATACTTTATTACTTTAGAATCTTTTCTAGGTATGCCTATGCTATAGGCCTAATATCCCTTTTCTTATATCTCGGTGAATTTCAATTCCTAGAAGCAATGACCCTTGACCAATATCATATTGAAACTTCTTCTCCAATAGCAGATTAACATCACTAATAGTGAGTAGGGTGTCATCTATACACAGGATGTGGAAAATAAATTTTCCATTCTTGAACTTTTGCATAAGCGCTATTGTCCTCCTCATTCTCTTTAAACTCAAACTTTCTTATTGTTTCATCAACTTTAAATACTACTGTCTAGAGACTTGTTTTAACCCATAAATGGATTTCTGCAGGCAGCATCCCATACGTTCTTTTGCTTCCACAATAAAATCTTTGGGTTATGCCATGTAAATATTTTTCATACAAATCCCCGTTGAGGAATGTCGTCTTTACATCCATCTGA